AAAGATCACGGGGAAGCGAGCTTCACAAACCCCCACTGCCGTGCACTTTCTCTGTCTCCCCTTGCAGGTCCAGCCTGGGCAGGGAGACAGAGGCACCGCGCTGCTACGGTCAGGGTGGCGGCGGGGTGCCTCAGTCTCCCTGCCCAGGCTGGAATTGCGAGGGGAGACAGAGAGAGTGTCCTGAAGTACAGCTGGTCGGCGGGGGTTTGTAAAGCTGGCTTCCCGCAATCTTCGCAAACCCCCGCCGATCAGCTGTGTTTCAGGGCTCTCTCTCTCCACCCCGCAACACAGCTGATCAGCGGGGCCTTTGGGATGATCGTGGGGAAGTGCTTCCCCACGATCATCATCGCAGTGCGATGTTTAGCCTATTTAAACATTGCAATGCAATCGGTTTTTTGATCGCAAAATCCGCATCGGTGTGCGGATTCATCGTTAAATGGGGTGCTCGTTAAGCGAGGCACCACTGTATAGGGAAATATGAAATTGTAGTGTCAACCAAGTGTATGGGTCCTGTAAAAAACTAAAATTCGGTGTGAAAGATAATTAGGAAAGAAATAGAAATAAAATGCAATATTGTTGAGCTTTTCTAAAAATGTATGATGCAACCATACCTGAAACACTGTATAAAGGTCTGGTCATTATATCAGTGGTACAGGATTTGAGACCTGGAGAAAGTGCAGAAAAAAGCAAGCAAAATAATTGTCTTATTTCCCTTGTCAAAGAAGATGACAGTATTTGAGCTTTTCATCTTAGAAAGCTTTTAAAAACAGTGAATAAAACATTAAAAGGCTGAAGACCTATGCACAAGGTTCAGCTAGCAGAACTGAATGGTGAGAGATTCAGAACAGGCACTTTCTCAACAGCATTTCAGCTAAACATTTTAATGTTGTTGAATTTACAAGCCAAATTAGTTATTGCTAATTATTGAGTATTTAAATTTAATTTACGGTAATCATGATTGAATTATAGGGGACCAGCCATGTGTAAAATACTATATATTTCTATGCATCTTTTATTTCCTTTATTTTTGCATTTTTATTTGTATTTTTTATTTATACCGTTTTTTTGCATCTGGAGGGGAGTTAAGGCTAATAAGCTTGGCAGCTGAGGGAGGGAGGGTAAAGTGCTGGTTGTTAGTTAATGATGGATGAGGTTATCAGGAGAAATGTTATATCAGGGGTAACAGGTGGAGTGAGACATGACGTTGGGAGTTAGACAGGCTGTTACAGAAGAACATGCTCCAGATGTTTATTATCTGTTCAGTTCTCTGTTCCCCTTCCCCAGCCAGCAGAACTGAAGTAACTTTATCAGCTAACCTTCTGATCTGTTCATACTGCTGCTGAATGCCATGTCGGTCTAAAATAAAACTGAGTTAATTTTTGATCTTTTAGTAGACAAAAAGGCCAACCTAGTTTGTATAACTGAAAAATCTGTGGGGTTGCCTTTTCCCACTTGTGCTTCCTGGGATATTTGATCCAGCATCATGGTGTATCAGAGAAGTGGGGAGAGGGTGTTGCCATAGTACATAGGAATTTTATTAATGTCAGCAGGATCTCTGCCAATTTGTTTCCAGGCCTGGAATGTGTTCATTTCATCTTGGATCAGTGGGACAAAGTGGGAATTGTCTTAGCATACCATGCACCCTGCAACCCAACACTGTCCCATTCATGGCTGATGGACTTCATTTCTGGTACGCTCTTTTGATTCCCCAGATTTTGACTTTCAGGGGATTTCAACATCCACATTGAGAAGCAGGTTGCGAAGGAAGCCTTCGAGCTCATGGATTCCGTTGTGTCCGTGGGCTTTTCCCAACATGTTATCGATCCTACACATGTGACAGGAGACACCTTAAGAACATATGAACATAAGAAGAGCCCTGCTGGATCAGGCCAAGGGCCCATCTAGTCCAGCTTCCTGTATCTCATAGTGGCCCCACCAGATGCCTGTAGGAGAACACAAGACAACTAGATACTTATGTCCTGATACCCCCTCCCCTGCCTTTGGCATTTGGAGATACCTTCCTTTTAAGCCTGGAGAATATACATCCTCATCATGGCTTGTAACCTGTGATGGGTGTTTCCTCCAGAAATCTGTCCAATCCCCTTTTAAAGGCATCTAGACAAGGGGCCATTACCACATCCTGTGGCAAGGAATTCCACAGACTAACAACATGCTGGGCAAAGAAATATTTTCTTAGGTCTGTTCTCACTCTCCCAACACTCAATTGGAGTAGATGTCCCCTGGTTCTGGTATTGCATGAGAGGGAAAAGAGCTTCCCTCTCTCCATTTTATCCACCCCATGCATAATTGTACACGTCTCCATGATGTCCCCCCTCAGGTGCCTTTTCTCTAAACTAAAGAGCCCCAAACGTTGTAGCCTTTCCTCATAAGGGAGGTGCCCCAGCCCAGTCATCATTTTTGTTGCTCTCTCCTGCACTTTTTCCAGTTCCACTGTGTCTTTTTTCAGGTTCAGCGACCAGAACTGTACGCAATACTCCGAGTGCGCCTTACCAGCATTTTGTACAATGGCATTATAATGTTGGCTGTTTTATTTTAAATCCTCTTTTTAATGATGCCTGGCGTGGAATTGGCCTTCCTCACTGCCACCACACACTGGGCTAACACTTTCATCAAGCTGTCCACCAGCACATCAAGATCTCTTTCCTGATCCGTCACAGACAGCTCAGAACCCATTAGCTGATAACTAAAGTTTTGATTTTTTTTACCCCAATGTGCATTACATTTTCTTATATTGCAACGCATTTGCCTTTTTGCCGTCCATTCTCCCAGTTTGGAGAAATCATTCCAGAGCTGTTCACAATCTTTTCTGGTCTTCATCACCCAGAAAACACAAATTCCATATCACAAGAGAGTTTGCTCTTGTGATCAAAAATCAGTGGAGAATTTGGCACATGTACTGCTCTATTGCCCACTATTAGAGACCTATCACAAAAGACTTCTCAACTCTATTTTACAAAAAACATTCTAGTAATTCTGAACAATAAAAGCTTAAGATCCTACTTTCCGACAGAGACAAATTTGTCACTTTCCGAATGGCATTGTTTATCTCTACATTGTTAAAATGAAATCTGTATCCTTCACCTCTATCAATTAAGTCATTATTTAAGTAACTGTTTTTTGGGGGTTATTCCTCTCGCGATAAGTGCTTGCTGCTAGCATTGGTTAATTCCTTTAACTTCTCCTTAGATGCTAAAACTTTGTGCCATAGTAGAAATCAACTTGATTTGATTCTAAATGGCTTTTAATATTGTATTGTATTATATTGTAGTGGACTATATTATATTGTTTATATTGTTTTATCTGATGTATCTTGCAATGGTCTGTGTGCCACGCATTAAATTGTTTTGCTTGCTTACTCACCCAGAAAAGTTTCATATCATCTGCAAACTTGGCCACCTCACTGCTTATTCCTGTCTCCAGGTCATCTATGAACAGGTTGAAAAGCACCAGTCCCAGGACAGATCCCCCTAGCAAACCTCTCTTCACCTCTCTCCATTGTGAAAATTGCCCATTAACACCTACTCTCTGTTTCCTGATTCTCAACTATTCTCAGTCATTGGACCTGGTGTTCACATCTAGACAGAGAGAAGGTGATCTGAAGATGGTAAACTTCTGCTTTGGCATGGTCAGATAATCACTTGCTGAGATTTGGACTTTGTACTGCAGTGTCCCTCCATGGGGTGGCCCTGTTAGAATTATCTGCCCTCATAGACGGTTGGATCTAATCAGTTTCCAGAATGTTCTTTGGGGTTTTCCAGCTAAAGTGGTTGGTGCTCCAGTCAAAGCCCAGATCTCCCACTGGTATTCAGAGGTGATCCGGGCAGTAAATAAGATTGCCTCTAAATTCCCTCTTCAGTGCAGAGCCCAGTCCTAACCATGGTTTACAGAGTTGAGAGTGATGAAGCAATTACAAAGATGGCTAGAGAACAGATGGAGTAAAGCTCCCGTAGAATGTTACCTTATTACCACTAAAATAAGACCTAACCTGAAAATAAACCCTAGTATGATTTTTCAGGATGCTCATAATATAAGCCCTACCCCCAAAATCAGCCCCAGTTACCGGTAAGTGAAACCCTGCCCTCCACCATTGTGCAGCATTGTGGCGCAACCAGAAGCTGACATGACTGTATTTGAATAAATGTACATTGTTCTCCATGAAAATAATAAAACATCCCCTGAAAATAAGCCCTACTGCGTTTTTGGGAGCAAAAAATTAATATAAGACCCTGTCTTATTTTCAGATTAATATAAGACCCTGGCTGCAGTTGGGGAAATGTCCAGCAAATATTGTAATTTACTTAAGGTTACAAAAAGTGGTGATAACATCAAATTGATTAATGTGGCCTCCAATCAACAGGTGTAACACTTTCAAGTCATTTTCAGCCTTACAAATTTATGGCAGAAGTATACATTACAGCTAAATGTAGAAAACTAAAACTGATTAGCAGCCCAACTTAGATCTCAGTTTGAATGCATCTGTCAGGACCTTGACTCCTTAAATATCCCAACCAATCAAACTGAGATTCCAATGCACTATATAGTCAGGTTTTATTACATCAGTTAGTATGGCCTTGCACACCGTAAAGCTACTATTTTATTTTTAGAACCTTGCCCATCTTAGCTTTAAAATCCACCAAGGTACAATAGTATAATGGGCAGCTCATGTCATCAGTACTTCCCTTTAGGAAAACCTTCTTTTTAAAAGAAATTATAGCAAGGCCTATTCTTAAGAAACTAATTTGACAGCAGCTGATGTGAAATACAAACCCAGTGTCAAATCTTTCTTTCTGGGGCAGGTAATTCATTAAGTCATTGACTCATAATATTTTTATAATGCCTTCCTCCTAACGCAACGTTTAAAAGCTAAAAACAGTAAGCAGTAGAAACAGAAATGTTCCATAAGAATTTTTTTTATTTTGTGTTCAGTTTGATTTGCACTGAGTATAACTGACAATTACAACAACTATATCTTTCCCTAGGTAGCTCTGGTGAAGTGGACAGAAAGTGTTGGTCTTACTTTGGTGAGCAGGGATTTGACTTCAATGCAGCTGAAAACTCCCAGTGGACAGATTTTGACATACTACATTCTACAAATCTTCCCTTTCACATCTGAGAGCAAGCGAATGGGAATTATAGTGAGGGTATGTTTTGTTAATGTTTTTTTCTTGATAGTTCTTGCAACTGGTATATTTAGGAAGGTACATAATTTTGAACATACATATACATTTTCAAATATAAACGTTAGTGAGCTATAATACTAGTACAGATATATCTTCCCCCATTAGCAAATACAAAACGAAGATATCTAAATGTATTCTCAAAGGCTTTCACGGCCAGGATCTGATGGTTGTTGTGGGTTTTTCGGGCTCTTTGGCCGTGTTCCGAAAGTTGTTCTTCCTGATGTTTCACCAGACTCTGTGGCTGGCATCTTCAGGGGACTGGAGTAGAAACTCTGTCCATGCTCTGTTGCTGTTTGCTGGATAGTTCAGTATTTATAGCTGTGGGAACAGCTTTTATCCGAAAAAACCACAACAACCAGAAGATATATAAAGTTAACTTTAATGTGACAGTCCTACAAACTACTTCCTAAATGGACTTTTTATGATATATGTGGGATTGTATCAATTTATGACTTCCAGGAGCTGCAGTTACTGTTGGATTCCCTTAAAATAGTTATCTGAGTAGGACATGTAGTATAACATCTATGATGAACTTGTTGCATTTTAGAATCTGGTGAATATTTAGAATATTTAGAATATTTTTGTAATCAAGTAAGTGACAATTGGAAAAAAATATGTTTTAAAAAAGAAATACTCTGTGCACTACATTGTATGTGCAATGTGTGTGGATTGTTTTATTTATACATTTATTTCAGGATGAATCTACTGGTGAAATCACATTTTATATGAAAGGTGCAGACGTGGCAATGTCCTCCATTGTTCAGTATAATGACTGGCTAGAAGAAGAGGTAAGAAATCTTGCACTGTTATCTCTCCCCAGGTTTTAAAAAAATGTGAATGCTGTATTTTGGCATAAGAAATATAAAGCTGCAATATTCAGAAACAGAAGGAAGAATAGCAGTCTCTTCAGTCTAATAATGTCTGTCTACTCTGAAGAGAGAAATAATGAGCCAAAAGCATAATGCATTGAGAAGTGAAGCTTTAATGAGATTTCCAGAGTTACAGTATTGCCTGGATTTTATATAGTATTTAAAAAGAAAAGAAAGTTAACTGTCAGATTGCACAATACAGTGACTGATTTTAAAAAAAAAGTTCTTAATGTGTTCAGTATATGTTCCAGATGCATAGTGAGATTCAAAGTCTTCTTCTTCTTCTTCTTCTGCTTCTGCTTCTGCTTCTGCTTCTGCTTCTGCTTCTGCTTCTGCTTCTGCTTCTGCTTCTGCTTCTGCTTCTGCTTCTGCTTCTTCTTCATTACCCATGACATCCGTTTTGCTTCCAGAATTGTCTGTTTTGTGCTCCTTGCCAGTCCTGCAGATCTTTTAATGTAATCCATCTTTCTAGCTTGAGGCCTTCCTCTACTACTACTTCCAATCCAAGATTCCAATTGATTTATTTCTTTATTCTAGTCGGCCTTCTACTTGTCCACCCATCTTCATTTTAATGATCCTGCTTGTTCTTTTGCATCTATTATTTTTCTCTTTTGTTAAATAACCTAGTTTCTTATTTTATATGTTAATCTAATATTTGGAATCTGTCTTTAAATTGCTCTTTGAGTTTTTGCAATCCTTTCCATTGTGAATTTGTTGAGAGTCTGTGCAGTGTAGGTCAGTACTGGCAACACACGTTCATAGTTAACTGATCTCAATTTTAGAGGATTTTTTTTTTGTTTCTAAGGATTTTGTTTTGTTTATTAAAAGCTTGCAAAGCAAATCTTATTAATCTCTCCACTTCTGTTTCTCATTAGATTTCCTACAATGTATTACCTGACTCAAATATATATTCTATACAAATATATTTTTGTATATTTTCTATATGATAGCTGTCAATTATATATAACCTTCTTTTCCTTTTGATTAATTATTTTTGTTTTTAGTTTAACCTACATAGGGACACTCAGGTTCTTGGTGAAGAGACATAAGTGTTTTTCTTTTACACTGAATGTGTGCATAGCTAAAAATTATATTCAAATTAGTTTAGATTAAATACTAAATATTTTCACAAACTAAATGCATTACACTGTGCTGCTGTACCAGACACTGGCAATTGTCTTAATTTGACCTTACATATAGATGATATGGTAATGTGATGATCACGCAATGCATGTTCATGATGGTATTGGCAATATAAATCAATACTTGCTTCAGGCACTTTGATTTAATCAGGGGCATGAATAAATTAAACTCCCCTAAGACCTAATAAAGTGTCATAAAAATTACTTTTGGCGATAATGATGCACAATTAATTGTAAAATACTTGCTTAATTTATTTAGCGTTATGAGGTCAAATCAATAAGCATTTTGCACCGGACAGACAGCATCAAGCTTTTTAAAAGAATCATGGGCATTATAGTTGTGTATTTAATTCTGGTGTTTAATACAATAAAATAAGCTTATTACCTGTTCATATTTACATTGTAGTAGTAGATGAGTGTTAGTAACAGATATAAATTCCAGCCTGTAAAACTAATTTTAAAGCTAAATTCCAAAAGTGTTTTAAAGCAAGGAGAGGAGAATCTTTGGAAATTAAGTGACAAAATAGAAATCATAGAGAGAACAGCAGAATTTTGTTCTTTGATTTGAGATCTTCACTAAACTAAATAAGGGAATGATGGGATCAGAAGTCCCATGTACCTTACTTCTTTTTCTTCCCCACCCCCATAAATTTGTTCAGTATCTTTCTACATGCTTTTTAAGACAATCTCTCAGAAGATAGCTTAGAATAAAAATTTACAATACAATTGTGACTAGTAAAAGCAGCAGTAGGAGCAAGAAATGCTTGAAGGAATGTAAGACATCATAGAATCACTCAGAAATAAGAGAAGGAATCAAAGAGAATTTTCAGAGGATAGAATTCTACAAGTATGGGCCAGCACTGAAAAAAAAGGTTTGTTACTCATTTTAACCTGACTGGTCTCAGGGGAAGAACAGTGGCCTTCCACGAGACATTAGCACACACACTGTAACTTTTGGCAGCAGCTATGGAGTTCCCCCTTACAGAATGTGCATGAACATTGATAATTAATTTGTGACCTCAGAATAAATGGAATTGACTTAATACACCAGCCGAGATATTCCTGCATGATTCATGGCTATTTTATGATTTATTGACTTTTTTGTTTTAGTGTGGTAACATGGCAAGAGAAGGACTGCGTACTCTGGTTGTTGCCAAGAAATCATTAACAGAAGAACAGTATCAAGATTTTGAGGTAAAAAAGCCAAAATTTGAAAGGCTAATAGTGTGAGCTTCCATGGCTCAAAATCGACTTCTTCAGAACAAAGGAATATAAATATATATCTGTTATATTTATCCGCATGATGGTGATAGTCAGGCCAGGTGAGGATACAGATAATAGACAAAATGACAATGGTTCATTAACACAGAAATCAAGTTAATTACCAGATCTGAGCCAACTAAGAGTTGTTCATGGGGCAGAGCTCAGAATGTGTTAGTACTTACTCCATGTCCCACTCTGGATTTAACAGCAAGAAAGAGTCCATGAATCAAAATAATGCAAAAATACTTTATAGGAATTTTTAAAATTTACAAAGTACTTCTGCAAGTTCGCTATGTATACCTTCCATTTAATGTAGATTAAAGGTGTTCTACTTTAGCTGACTTTGGCATTGACTCAGTCTTTGTGAGTTTTTTCAGAAAGCAGTCTTAAGTAAGGTTGACTGGACACTTTATGTGTAGGAGCCTTCTGCTATCCTGCCACTGTTTATTCTCTCCCTCTTCCCATATTTTCCTCGGGTATTGGGAAGAGAATCTGGAGCAAGGAGGGCAGGACCAGCAATGGATTTATCTTTAAATCATCGGGCCTTCGAACTACATTGGAAGCTCTTGAATGTGCCTGTAAGTGCTCATGGCTCCTGGCGATCCTTGAAACTGTAGCAATGTAACGATCCCATATCCCTAAAGAGGCAAGGATCGCGATCAGGGAGTCCCTCTGGGTGCAAAACTACCACTTTTATTTCCTGAGGTATGTCCTTTAGGCCTCCAAAGTGCATAGTAAGCCCCATAGACAAGCCTGAACTTTAAAAGTAACCTTGATTGCTTCCAAAGCAATAAAACATAGGCTGTGTATTTCCTTAGAATACACACCAGCCTTGTAAAGTAGGACAGTAAGACCTGTATTTACAATAGCCACTATTAACTTTCTTTCATACACACTGGATTTAGTTATAGTCCTGCTATATCAAGAGACTAGTCCTTTGTTGGAGGTTTATATTTGTTGTATTAAGAAAACCAGATCCCACAGTGCAAGCAAGATCTGAAAGCCTTAGGAATGGACCTCAACAGATGTGTAACTTTGACATCTGAACATTCAGCTTGGAGGCAGGTGGTGTATCATGGCCTCTCCCATTTTGAAGAGGCACTTGTCCAGCAGGCCGAGGCAAAGAGGCAGTCCCAAAACGAGCAAAATCAGGGTCTGGACAGGGGACAGATTGTATTTGTCTTCAGTGTGGAAGGGATTGTCACTCTCAAATTGGCCTTCTCAGCCACACTAGACGCTGTTCCAAGTCCTCCATACAGAGCATATTACCATAGTCTCTCGAGACTGAAGGATGCCTACCCTTAGAAAATGAAGTAGATTCATTAGATTATAGTTGTAGCTTTAAAGCTTAAGCATTAGACATTTTCAGACAGTTACAATGGTTAAATAAACTTAGTAGTATACTTTATTACCATCAGAGACCAGTAAAACCAAATCAATATAAAATAGATACATATATATAAAAAATAAACTTAGAACTTGTAATTAAAATAAAAACAACTAAGTCTAGGTAATCATCTTGGCTAGAGGCTGGGCTATTTCCCCCTCCTTCTTCTTGAAAAGAAAAACGAACCTCTGTGTCTCACATTCCACAGCATTCATGGACCAAACTTTCACATACATCTCATTTTACATCTCTTTAGGACCACCTTCTTCATTACACTTTCAAGCTGTCAACCAATTAATTCCAAGTAGGCGTAATTCAGAACACTCCGATTACCACCCAAAATTCTCACGACCCAGCTCCAGATGTCTTATCTGCTTAATTTAGTGGTCTGTTGTTTTGTCTTCTTTTCCTGGATGGTCCAACCTTGTGAATTAGGCAGACAGCTCTGCACAACAAGCTCCTGAAAAACATATCTTTTAAATTCATCTTACACAGAACGTAACAGCCTCCATTTTTGTATGACTACAATTCCCAGTTTCCTTCCATTTCCTTACACACAAGATCCCTTTTGGATCAGAACAAAAAGCTGTCTGAGCCAGCAGTTTGTTCCACAGTAGTCAACCAGACATCAAATTGTCTGAATCAGAAAGAATTGAAAATTATCCTTCCCATGGTTCTCAATGGCAGTAGATGTCTCGCAACTTCAGTCTTCCCTGCTGTGAGGGCCCTCCTACACCATAAAGGAATCAGCATCATAACTTGAAAAGAAATTAACATTGAGAAGCTCTTAGGTTACAAGGAACTTGGCAGGATCTTACTGAGGAACAGCTGCTAAGAACAGGATTGAAAAATGCTAACATATATTTGGGGGGAATCGAAGGATATAATTTGTTCAAAAAGAACAGAAAGAATAGAAAGAGGTGGAGTTTCAGTATATGTAAAAAATATACATTCCTGCACAGAAATACAGGAGGAGGAGATTGGCTATCCCATTGACAGCATCTAAAGCAATGTAGTTGGGGCAAAAAAACAAAAGGAACATGGTGGCTGGAGTCTACTACTGGCCTCTCAGTCAAGGAGACAATGTAAATGAAACTTTTGAAAAACAAATTGCAGGCATTTCAAAGAGATATGATGTAGTAGTAATGGGAGATTTCAGTTATCCTGATATCTGTTTTAAAATTCTGTGAAGTGTGGCTCTTTCAAGAAATTCCTGGCTTATGTAGCTGATAATTTTCTCCTACAGAAAGTGGAGAAACTAAAAGACTAGCTATCTTTTACTTCAGTGGTCCCCAACCATGGGCCTCCAAATATTCTTTGACCAAAAATCCCAGAAGCCTTCACCACCATCTCTGCTGGCCAGGATTTCTGGGAGTTGAAGTCCAAGAACATCTGGAGGCCCAAGGTTGGGGACCACTGCTTTACTTGATTCTAACCAGTAGAGATGATTTGGTGGACAAAGTGGCAATAAGGGGAACTCTGGGCAAGACAGACCATGTTCTAGTAGAATTCTTTATTTTAAAGAAAACCAAAGCAGAGTGTAGCCACACATATATGCTGGATTTTTAAAAAGCCAATTTTAAAAAACTCAGGACAATGATAAGTAATGTTCCATGGCAGGAGATCCTGACAAGAAGAGAAGTGGGAGTTTCTAAAACAGGAAATTCTAAATCTATAACAACAAACAATTCCAACAAGAAAAAAGGGTGGGGGACAGCAAAAAAGGCCAGTGTGACTTCACAAAAAGCTCAGAGAGGAGCTGAAAAGAAATAAACAAATAAGATACATATAGGAAGTGGAAAGAAGGCTATAAGGAAGAGTATAGACAAATAGCAAGGAATTGCAGGGATCGCATTAGAAGGGCAAAAGCTGAGAATGAGCTGAGGGTAGCTAGAGACACTAAAAGCAACAAAAAATTCTTGAGGTACATGCATAGCAAAACACAAAAAAGAAAGAAACAGTGGGTCATCTACTCAATGGAGATGGAAAAAGTGATAACAGAAGACAAAGAAAAGGCAGAAGTGCTCAATTCCTGTTTCAGCTCAGTCTTTTCACAAAGGACAGACTATGACCCACCAGACAATTGTGAATTGCAGATGGAGGGGACAAGATTGCAGCTGGAGATTAATAAACAGATATTCAAGGACTACTCACTACCTTGAACAAATTCAGATCTCCAGGGCCAGATGAACTGCATCCAAGAGGATTGAAGGAGCTGGGTGAAGAGCTCTCAGAACCACTATCCATTATTATTATTATTATTTAAACCATGGGGAATGGGTAAGGTGCAAGATGATTGGAGGAGGGCTAATGTTGCCCCTATTTTCAAAAAGGGCAGAAAGGAGGAACTTGGGAACTTTATACCAGTCAGCCTGACATCATTCCCAGGGAAAATTCTGGAACAGATTCTTAAGCGATCACTATGCAAGCCTTAAAAAACTATGTGGTAATAACTAGAAGCCAACACGGATTTGTCAAGAACAAGTCCTGCCAGACTAATCTAGCCTCATTTTTTGATTGGGTAACCTGATAGAGGGAATGCTGTAGACATCGTAAAGCCTGACTTCAGCAAAGCTTTTCACAAAGTGCCCCATGATATCCTCATTAGCAAGCTAACTAGGTGTGGGCTGGACAGAACAACTGTCAGGTGGATATACAGTTGGCTACAGAATCGTACTCAGAGAGTGATGATTCATGGCTCCTTCTCCAACTGGGAGGAGGTAACAAATGGGGTACCTCAAGGCCTAGTCCTGGGCCCAGTAGTCTTCAACATTTTCAGTAATGACGTGGATCAGGAGATGCTAATCAAATGTGCAAATAACACAAAATTGGGTAGAATAACTAATACTGTGGAAGACAGAAACACAATTCAAAATGATCTAGATATGCTTGACCACTGGGCTGAAAACAACAGAATGAAATTTAACAGGGATAAGGGCAAAGTACTGCATCTAGGAAAATGAAACCAAGCACACAGCTACAAGATGGAGGATACCTGGCTTAGCAGTACTACAAGCAAGAAGGAGATCACAAGGTGAATATGAGCCAACAGCATGATGTGGCTACAAAAAAGGCAAATGCTATTTTAGGCTGCATTAAGAGAAGTATAGTCTCCAAATCCCATGAGGTACTAGTTCCCCTCTCTTCGGCACTGGTTGGGCCTCATCTTGAGTATTGTGTCCAATTCTGGACACACACTTCAAGAAGGATGCTCACAAATTGGGGCAAGTTCAGAGGACGGCAACAAGGATATGATCGGGGTGGGGGCTGGAAACCAAGCCCTCTGAGGAAAGACTGAAAGAACTGGGCGTGTTTGGCCTTGAGAAAAGAAGACTGAGGAGATATAGGATAGCACTTTTCAAATACTTGAAAGGCTGTCATTCAGAGGAAGGGCACAACCTGTTCTTGATCATTCCAGAGTGCAGGACATGCAACAATGGGCTCAAGTAACAGGAAGCCAGATTTCAATTGAATATCAAGAAAAACTTCCTAACTGTTAGAGAGCAGTAAGATAGCAGAATCAATTACCTTGAGAGGTATTGAGTGCTCCAACACTGGAGGCATGCAGGAGAAACTTAGACAACCACCTGGCAGATATCCTTTGATTTGTATTCCTCTTTTGTCTCTCCTCTGAGGATTTAGTACTATGTTTTGACTTCAAGATGGCCCTTCAGATTTAGAAGATTGAATTTTTTAAGGTGTCTGTGAGAGCAAAAAGAAATGTGAGCATGTCTTTCTCTTTCTTATGAAAAGATGGAGATGGAGTTATGCATTATCTCCTCTGGCCATTTGCAGGTCCACATGAGAGGTACAGATGTGTCAGTTAATGATTATCTTTTTTTAAAGAGCCTTACTGAGGTGAAAAAATTAGCAGAAATCAAACTGAAGTATTATATGGATGTTTCCATAACTTTTAACTCCAAGGCGAGGTCTGCAGTTCAGAAGAAAGAAACAGAGCAAAGCAGGAGACTAGGGATCACCAGAAAGTTGCTTGCAGAAACTCATGTGTTTAATCAATAAATGCAGGGCCTTGAGGGGTCATAGCAGAGGCTTTTTCTGTGCCTGTTTCTAAAACAGAAATACTGCTTCCGGACAGACACCCTATCTTTTTCCAAAAGTGCAGAATGTAGGAGTAAATTACATAGCTTTCAAGTAGTAAGCTTGAAATTTGCAGCCATAACTTGTTCGGGTTACATTTATTTGCCTTGCATTTTCTGTTACCAGTATTATAGTATTTTCTCAGCAATAACCATAGATACATTTTAGGTAAAATCTAAAACAAGCTCATGGGCTTCCAGCTTTTACATTTTGCCAAATCTTTTTCTTAATGTTTATGGCTTTGGTTTTGTCCTGTTGCAAACAGAGTCGCTATAACCAAGCAAAACTAAGTATACATGACAGAACCCTCAAAGTGGCTGCAGTGGTGGAGAGCTTGGAAAGAGAAATGGAACTACTGTGCCTCACTGGAGTGGAAGACCAACTACAGGCCGATGTTAGGCCGACCCTGGAGATGCTGCGAAATGCTGGAATAAAGGTGCTAAATTCTTTTCTCTTTAATTAAATATGTTATCAATTTATTTCCATAAGAAAGTAGCAATCCAATCTATTATACGAAAAGTTAAAAAGGTGGAGAGCATTTGGATACTGCAGAAAAGTCAGCAGAATTTAAAGAGAAAAATAAAACATGGTCACAACCATGTTGCCACATTTTGAATACAGTAGCATTAGATTATTTTTGCCTTGTGAATATGTGCAGAAATGCATATCACTACATTTTCCGGCCCCACATAGATACATTGCCTGCTGAGTGTTGCTGTGTCAGATGTTCTGTGTACATGACACAGCAGCTACCACAAAAAGAAATACCCACTACTTTTATGATAGCCTTAGGAAGTTATAGCAAGAGAGATGATAAAATTTAGTCATGTTTCAGGACTTGACAGTTCCAGAATGTTGGATCTCAGCACAAACTGCATCACAATATTTGCATGTTTAAAAGTGCACTAAAGCAGTTTGATTTATTATGTTGGTTGAGATTAAAATGGTATAGAAGTGCCGTTGTATTATGCACTTACTGCCACACTCATCTTAATGTGTTCAATTAAAAGCTTCTGCATTTGAAAAAAAAACCCTAATAATAGTCTGGCTGCTCACTTTTAGGAGTTAGGTTAAAAGATTATATTGGAACCTGCTTTTTAAATTTGATCCATTTCTACGTTACTCTTTCAGAGCTTCTTGCAGAGAGATGGGTAGGAAATCCTCACCAAAGCAGGGCTATGCTTTTACAGTGTCTCCTGCAATTCTTTGCAGTTTGTCATCTGGACTATTTCCATGAAGCAAAGGAAACAGCCAGTATGATTTTAACAAGTGTGGCTTGATTGAGATATTCTGAACCAGATGTTTTTTGATTCCATCAGCCACTAGCAAAACAGCGGGAGATGGTGGGAGTAGCAATTCACCAACAAATGCTCTGTATATCTCCTCTGAACAAATTCTGAGGCCGTTTTGGGCTTGGTGGATCTTTTGTTGTTTTTACTGGAACTTCCAAGATCCAGCCGAACCTACTAGAAAAGGTAGTCATACAGAGGAGGGGCAGAATCTGTTCTCAGTCATCCCAGAGTGCAAGACATATAATAATGGGCTGAAGCTACAGGAAGCTAGATTTAGGCCGAATATCGGGAAAAACCTCTTGACTGTTAGAGAAGTATGACAATAGAGCCAATTACCTCAGAAGGTGGTGAGCACTCCAATGCTGGAGGGATTCAAAAGAAAATTGGATATTGTGTGTCAGATTTGATTTGATTTGGATTCAGTGGCATTATAGGTCCCATCCAACTCAATTATTCTATGATTCTGTGAAAAGGCATGCCCTCAGAATGAAAGAATTGTGACTCTTAAGTAGTAATCACTATCCAACCATATAAAAATCCACTTGTGGTTGCCCCAGGCTTTATTTATTTCATCAGTTCCTTCAGCAGTGGGATGAGGTACTTTGCCGCTGCTCACAACTAAATTAACTCGTGAATTCAACCCATGACTCTTGGAATGGTTAGCAGAGAACACTTCACTCTTAGAAAAGAAATTGGTTTGTCTGTAAGCCGCCCAGAGTGGCCATTGGTCAGATGGGTGGTATAAAAATCAATCAATCAATCTGAACAGAGGAAAATGCTAACCTGAAATCACTCCTTTCAAGCTAAACCTCTCTTGTAATGGGTGGTATAAAAATCAATCAGTCAATCTGAACAGAGGAAGAGGTAAAATGCTAACCTGAAATCGCTCCTTTCAAGCTAAACCTCTCTTGTGTCCACATAAAGCTGAAGGGCCTAGACTCTGCCCCTTCACCTAAGCTACAGCTTGGGCTTCCACATTTTTATCTACAGATGCAAAGCCAGGTTGCTTTGATAGCTACTGAACTGGATAGTATGGACATAAGTTTCAGGAATATACATTTTGAGGGTTTGGGGGGGGGGTGAATTCAATAGATAAGTAATCAAAAAATAATAACTAAAATTATCTTCTTAGATATGGATGCTAACAGGAGATAAATTGGAGACTGCCACTTGTATTGCAAAAAGCTCTCATTTAGTATCCAGAGCACAAGATATTCATATTTTTAGACCTGTAAGTATAGCTACTTGTACTTACTATTTCTCATCAACCATAGCAGTGCCTACTATGGTTTCATTTGTTAGTGATGTTGTTTTACTAGTCCACTCCCTATATACGGTAAAGGAATGAATTCCATTCTGTTATTAATGAAATACCATATAGATTTTCTAAATTGCCCTTATTAGATTTATTTTTGTACACTTTATGATAGCTGTCATCTTTTGTATATGCATGGCTCTGTACATGGATTTTACCTCCACAGATCATATAAATGGGAGCTTAATATGCAGAAAAATCTACTCTAGCTGAATTCATTTGTGAGGACAGCTCAAATATATCAAAACAAGTTTCCCCTCCAACTATATAACTTTTTTGAAAATAGGCTAGCTAATGGATGTTATCCTAGTTTAAACTATATGGTATGTGAGAGATCTGTTCATCAATCTCCCAGGTTTTTTCTTTTCTTCTAAGGTCCTGGAAACCCCAAATTAGATTTAGAGCCATGGTGCTATGGAAAGAAACTTTAACCTTTTGTTCCATGCCATTTTCCTGACATAAGTCCTCCATTGGCACATGTGCCTACATACTTCCCCTGAGGAAAAACATGTTCACATATTTTTCCTAACACGATTATTTAGATCTAGAAAATGGGGTGCAGAAATTTATTTAATGCCCCTGCATTGTGAAATACAACACTAATTTGCTCTCAGGGTACCCACAGCTGATTTTTTTAAGAACACTTAGAACCACTCACTGCATCTCTTGCATCTTATCTAGTTTGCACCTAAATATGTTTAGTATTAAAAATGACAACAGTGTCTTGTTCTGTTGGCAAACCATACCAACCTAGTATTTAAGGAATATAAAATAGCCCTTAAATTCAGCTATCATTCTTAACTTTCTTGGCATGCAAAAGGTTTGAAGATATTACTCAGTTGTTCTATACATTTATGTAGATGTGTCTCCAAATACTTCTATGTCTAATGTGAGGAAACTGTTGAATTACGCAAGTGCTAATAAACGAACAAATGAGTCCAAATACTTCCAAGGCAAACTCCCAGATGTTAGGCCCTGCAGCTATGCTTTGCCACTAAAAAATAGATTTCGCCTCCAGTGATTTAAAAAAAAATAATACTGTTTGAATAACCTGATGTGTATATGTAATTTAATTGTGTTAGCAATTCTGAATTTTCTGGTCTTGGAACAGGCAAATATTATTTCATTTGCATTCTAAATGAGCCTTTCACTGTCCCAGAATAATTACTTGAATATAATCTACATGTAAATATAATTTCTTCTGAAAGATCAGAACACTGAACTAGGCTCTGCAGACTCCAGTTTGCTCTTAAATTATTAATGATTATAACAGAATTTTAAATCAATTATTATTAATTTATTAAAAACTTTAAAAAATAATTTTCCCAATAAAAATTATTTTATTTAGTTTAATTTTTTCTCTCCTCCCAATTATGATATACACTAACAGCAGGTTAACCCTGAAGGCTTTTCATGTTGGAACAGGTAATTTGTTAGTAAATTTGATAGAATGGCAGCTGAGAATGACAGCTAATTCCAAAGAAATATTCACATAAAATCTTTCAGAGTCTTTGCAATATTTTAAATGATCCATGTTCCTCAAAGTATGTCCCACTGATTATTCTCAAATAAATGGCCATTGAATTGCAGTCCTAGTTTTTCATCTAACTCAGTCCCTGATCTCTAATGACAATGTGTGCAATCCAGTCGTGTTTCAGCTCAATCACATAGAGTGCACACATTGAGGAAGACTAAATGAAGATACTGCAAGGATGCACAAGCCCCCTGCATTCTCTGCTCCATGTGCTCTTTGGATATTTCGTTTTGTGCTCCTATTGGATAGTATTCTGAGATAAACAGAGCTCTTTTGATCCAAACAGGATTCATAAATATGAATGAACTACACATGCAGTTAAGCCATTAAAAGCTTTGAAGTAGATATGAAACATTATTTCACAGGGTTTTTTATTGTATCTGCTTACTTGACTACAGAAGCATTTAGAATTGCTGAGGTTGGATAGCTTCTATATGTTAGGTGTAATATTCCTAATTTTAGTTTCAAAATGACTGGTTCTCCCATAACAATAATCATTGGTTTAGAGTTTAAAAAATGAGCTTCAGCAAGCCTTGTGTTTAAACATAGACACTGTATGAAAGCTACCACATCACCTTCAGCATTTCGTCCCTCACATCCCTTTAGAGAGCCATGACACAAAACCATCATCTATTTCCTTACATTACATCACCATAATGTAAGGAAAACTTACATAGTGGTGATTACATTATCACCATAATGTAAGTTTTCCCCTTCTGGGCACGGGCCCAGTTCAGAATACCATTAAACCAAGTTTAATCATTAGAATAATAAACCTTCATTTGTGAACTTTCTCCTTTCCTGTCTCTCTCCTTTTTTGTATTATGATTGAACCAGACAGTGTTTTCAGAGAAAAGTTCAAAATATGTTTATAGGACTGTGTCATGCGCCCGAGTACTTCAAAGGAAAAGGATGCAAAGAATGTGGTGTATAGGATACAGATATCGAGGCCACTGGAGAAAACTGAAGCCTCTCAGCATGCCTTCAGCATTACAACTTGTACCCTGTCTGAATGACTTTGCAGTGAGAGTATTTGTTGCAAGAGTGGAGTCTGTCAACTTTTGTTGCAGATAACAAAATCTCTGTAAGAGTGCTGGGAAAAAAAGTTGGAGGAATTCTGTTATAATAAAAGGGAGCTGTGTAGCCGTATAAACATATTTAACAGTTCCACCTTGAACTTTTGAGTGTTTACTTTTTAATTAAGGTAACCAGTCGTGGAGAGGCTCATCTGGAGCTAAATGCCTTCAGGAGGAAACATGACTGTGCTTTGGTAATCTCTGGAGACTCTCTGGAGGTAAGGCCCTGGCTTTTGTCAGCTGACAGCACTGTTAATGTAATATCTAGAAATAAAATACACTTCTCAGCAGAAACAGAAAAAAAGGACGGCAGCAACACGTATGGGTGAAACAAATCTAAAGTTTGTTTTACATCATATCACACCTAATACTTTGAGTCTAAACCAAATTGAGGAGCAGATACAAAGAATTTCTTCTTTCAAGTATTTCTGTCTCTGCCCCCTCCCCCAAAAAAGCCTGCTTGTCTTCTCTCTGTACTGAAGATGAGATGAGATTTTTATCAAGTGGCTGCAGTGGTTTCTTAGGCCTTCCGGAACAAGAGGGAGTTTCTCTGAATTTTGTTCTATATTTTTTGATAAATGTTATTTAGAATTTTCCTATGTACTACCACAAGAGTCCTAAAAGAAATTTTGACATAAACTTTAAGAATCCCATAGTTTTCCCCATGCCAGGCTGCACGGGGGTCAGGAATATGTTGCCAGATTATGTAGTGCACTTGAAAGGTTGACGAGGTTGTGCAGGTCACTATGGATGAGTTTTAATTGTTGAGATCTGAGGAGGTGGACAGGGTGCTTGGATCTGTCCTTTCTACCACCACTCCGCTCAACCCTTGCCCATCTTGGCTAATTGGAAGATCTGCCAGGGGGGTTCGCACCTGGGTCCAGGAGGCCGTGAATGTCTCTTTGAGAGAGGGAGTGGTCCCTACCACCTTGAAAGAGCTGGTAATTCGGCCACTCCTTAAAAAGCCTAACCTGGACCCAAGGCTGGTGGTTAACTACCAACCACTGGCGAACCTCCCTTATTCGGACAAAGTGTTGGAGCAGGTTGTGGCTGGGCAACCCCAGGTGCTGCTGGATGAAATGGATTTTCTGGATCCATTTCAATTGGGTTTCAGGCCGGGTTTTGGTACAGAGACTGCCTTGGTCACCCTGTATGATGACCTTTGCCAGGAGAGAGACAGGGGGAGTGTGACCCTGTTGATACTCCTAGACCTCTCCGTGGTTTTCAACACCATCGACCATGGTGTCCTGGATACGCTGGCTGGGTTGGGAGTTGGGGGCACCACTTTACGGTGGTTCTGCTCCTTCCTGGCTGACCATGTCCAGAGGGTGGTGCTGGGGGACAGTTGCTCTGTCCCATGGCGTTTATGTCATGGGGCTCCTCAGGGCTCGATACTGTCCCCCATGCTGTTTAACATCTACATGAAACCGCTGAGTGAAGTCATCAGGAGGTTTGGGCTGAGGAGTCAGCCATATGCTGACAATATTCAGCTCTACCTCTCGTTTTACACCAATCCAGGTGAGACAGTTTCTGTGCTGAACTCGTGTCTGGACCTGATAATGGACTGGATGAGGGTTAATCAATTGAAACTGTCTGACAGTTGAGGGTTAGTCAATTGAAACAGACAAGACAGAAGTGCTGTTAGTGGGCACTTCACTGAACAGGCTGGTGGCCCATTTCCCTGCCCTGAATGGGGTTACACTCCCCCTAAGGGACAGAGCCTACAGCTTGGGGGTGCTCCTGGACCCCAGTCTAACACTGGAAGCCCAGGTGGACTCGGTGTCCAGAAGCACTTTCCTTCAGCTGCGGAAATTATACCAGCTACAGCATTACCTGAACAAGAGGAGTCTCATGACAGTTACACACGCACTGGTAACATCTTGCATAGATTACTGCAATACGCTCTACGTGGGACTGCCTTTGAAGATAGACCAGTGACTGCAACTGGTCCAGAATCGAGCTGTGTAGCTGGTGAGTAGTGGGGCCACTAGGGAACATATCAAGCTGATTCTGTTTAAATTACATTGGCTACCAGTTGCTGCCCGGGCCCAATTCAAAGTGCTTGTTTTAACATATAAAGCCCTAAACGGCTTGGGCCCTGGATACTTGAAGGACCGCCTCCTTCCATATGAGCCTACCCGGCAGTAGCCAGGGGGCCCTTTTGAAAGAGCCGTCC